ATTTGGGCATTCTTCTCTATGTCTATTATTTAAAAGTTGACTTCAAAAGGAGAAAAAGAAGGTACATGAGAGTTGGCATAGGAATCCTTTTCCAGCCCTGTCCTTCTCTGTAAATAATCCTCAGTTTGTGTTGGGTGGCCAATGTAGATTTCAGTTCTTAGAAAAGTGCTGGGTGTCAATGGTAGTGGGTGTCCTCTGTGGCCTGATGAAGCCATGGCTCCTGTACGGAGATCTACTGGGAGATCTACTGGGAGATCTGCTGGGGGATAACTGCAGGAGTTATCTGTAGAAGGAGTAAAGCTTTCCTTGGAGCTGGCCTTTGAGAAGCTGCACAGCATTTCGGTAGTTGCCTAAAGACACACACTGGGTTATGGGAGGTAGTGATAAATACAACAATCATTGCTTTTTTTTAAATAGTTTCTCCTGTTCTTGTTCAGATGCTTTCAGTCAGTAAAATGTAGGGTGTTATTCTCAAAGGAGAAAGCAGCTTGCTATGAAACTCGCTGAACAAATGGCAGAAAGATGTAATATTCTTGAAAATCTTAGCTTGATTAAAAAATGAGCACGAAGGACTAGAATCATCTTTAAATGATGCAGGCTGGAGAAAGTGACATCCAAAATGCCAAGTCTGGAAGAAACTTACGAAAACATACATACAATGCAATCAGTTTGGTACTTAAGCACGGAATATACTTCCTTGAAAAAGAGCTGGAAAAAGAAATCCAAGTTCTCAGTAAAAAGATGTGTTGATGGACACCATTATGAGCATGAAGAGGACACAAAAGCCATCATTAAGTGAGTGGATTTCCGATAAAAGCATTTGGTAGGCAGCATTTTTCCTATGGTCAATCATCTGAAAGGGCTTCCCTCTCTTCCATTCGGGCCTTTGCTCTCAGTATACGTTCACTTGGCTCCTACCCCAATATGAGGTTTAGTGGTGCCGGTGTATCCTAAGAAACTGTTTTTGAATCCCCTCCTTCAGAAATACATACGGGTCTTGTGCTTCCCGCCATGCAAAATTACTATCCATCGTGTTTCCTGGCACACCTTAGGTGCCTTTAACAATTGGAGACGTTTTTCCAATATTCTCCGCCATTGGCTGGATTTCTCTCTACCACTATAATCTAAATTTAGAAATAAAGCATCAGCAGGGTTGACCTAACCTGCCAATAAACCAATGATTGAACACCATAACCCCAGCAAGGAACTTGGCTTTTACTTGTTTCAAAGGGGAATTTTGAATGATTCCCTTTCATTATTAGCTTAAGCACCATCTGTTACCTAAGAGATTTTTACTTTTGTCTAACTGAAACCCCTAGAGTTGTAACTTTCAGGGGAATATTTTACAAATATTCTTTATATATGAGTCGGATGATTAAGTTTTATGTACTCTATGTAAAATATACCAGGGCGTTATAAACATTAATTGAGCATAACACAAGGAATTCAACACATATTTTAAACTCTAAAGGCTATTTTTGTATGTCAAGAGCTATATTTAACAAAGTTCTAATATGAATGTGAAAAGAAATTGGTTTGTTTAACTGAATATACATAAATTGGAGGTCCACATGTAAAATATCTTTTTAATATTAGGTGAGAAAAGTAAAGAGGTTTAGAGAACATAGTCTACGTATCTTGTGAGGGCAACCGTAGAACAATACTTCCCATAGTGCATTTCAGAGAATACTGAGCCCAAATGCTGTTTAGAGATCAAAGGGTTTTCTGGTCATGTGTGCGGTGTCCTAGAGCCAGCTCATACTTGATGACATTTGTTTGTTAAATGTTCATAAATTATTTTAATTTTCTTTATTACACCGATTTTTCAAGGAGTCAGGGGAACAGAGAAGCAGGAGTGGGTTTCTGCAAAGGAAAATCTCAGGTGGTTAACACCGGAGATGGCCATGACTTTCACCACCCAACCGTTCTCTCTGCTCCTTGCCCCAAGGCACAGCCTGGCCCCAGTGGGTCCTGCCAGAACCACCTGCCCATCTCTCCCAATCTGTCTGCTGGCAGCTGCTCAGACCCCCATTCTGCAGGGCGGTTCTCCCCCCGCGCTCCCAACCCACAAGGTCGGAAGGGCTCATAAATGAATTCCAGATCCAGATATTGCCAAAGAAATGTCAGTGCTCTGAGACTTTGACTTGGTATTTCCCATCATTCTTGTGGAACAGGAAGCAAGTACCCATGATTCTTTTCTGGTTTGGCTGAGCCACCTGCCAATCATGACATTGTCGCCAGGGCTGGAAGGTACCATCTAGCTAGGCAACCAATCAGAAGGGCGGATTGCCTCTGGAGGTTCGTTTCATAGATGTGGTTTCTAGTCTTCCTGGTGACATAGAAGCCTTTTGTTCAAAATAATCCTTTAAGGACGTATGTATATTCACAGAAATGAAAACAAGCTGGTAACACTTACAAATATTCACCAGGTCTGGGCCACCCAGGAACCCAGTTGCATGGGGCAGAAAAGTCCTCTCACTTTGTGGCTTCAGGGCACAGATCTCTTTCAGATCTTCAAGAAACTCCCTTTTTTCCCCCATAATAATTTAAGTTATAAGTGTTTACATTTAAATAAGTAACTTAATTATATAATTATTTAAGGTATCTTAATATTTATTTAATAGTATTGATAATAATTATTTCAAATAATAACACTCTTTTTAAATTATCTTATTATACAACTTAAATTGTAAGTGCTGATAGTTGCACAACCATATGCATTAGTCGAAACTCGTAGAATTCAGTGAAAAGGGTGAATTTTACTTTATATGAATCGTACTTAATTTTTTAAAAAGAAGCAATACTTAGGGAAAAAACTCATGCAGTATGCAGATATGTACATTTGTCAAAATGTATCCAACAACACTGTAGATGCATTTTATGGTATGGAAATTATTCCTCAATAAAATTGATTTTTAAGGAATTAGAAGCATATGATTGTCTGTTGGACATTTCAAATTAAAGACCTGGCTCTGGAATTTTATTAGGGAGCATTAGATGCAAAATTGAGGCCACTAGCACTCAGTTTTTGTAGTGGAAATCAGGGGGAATGGAAAGATTTTCTTATTTTTTAAGATAATTAAAGGGCATATGGCTCTTCCCTGCTGCAGAACTAAGGGTTTTCAAACTGAGTCCCCAGGGAAGCCCAGGGGTTCCTCAACTGCCTACCTGCTGCTTTTCACCTGACTTGTAGTCAGAGCTACCCACTTCTTCCGCACCCCTTACAGGCTTCTATCTGAAAGTTCTGAGACTAGAGGGTCTGAAAAATCAGAGCTCTCAAAAAAGGGTTTTTGCTGCCTCCCGAGCTACCAAATGGCCATGCTGGGGATCTTCAAGGAAGGAAGCTGGTGTTCATCCCAACCAGGCTGTCTGCCATCCGGCCCAGTAGTTTTCTTTCAGTTCCTCAAATCTGGTGCACTCCGTCCTGCCTTGGGTCGTTCAGTTCCCTCCACCCAGACGCCCTCCCAGACTTGTCCTTCTGGTTAACTCCTGATTGTCATCCACTTTCTGCTCAGCATCAATATCCCCATAAAAACGTCCCTGGATTCCTCCAGTGGGGGCCAGATTCTTGTATCGGAAGTTCTCCAGGACCCGGGTTCTCTTGCAGGGCACAAACGACAGGTGGAGTTTAGGTTGATGGCCTTTTCTCTTGACCGTCTTCCCCCAACAGGCAGGGCAAATTGATCCCTACCAGGTGTGCAATGCTTAGCCTAGCATCTGGCACTTAGTAGGTGCTCCATAAATATTTCCCACACTTTGGCCCTGTGTACACTGTTGCATTTATATGGGGATTTCACACACATAAGCATGTCCACCGAAATATAAGCACACATGCATAAAGTGTGCAGATGTACGTGTATGACTCAGATTTGTCACTAGCTTCCCAGAAGGCCTGCCTCTCACCCTTCCTAATCAGCATCCCCCACTCTCCAGGAAACCTGCATCCTATTTTCAACATCATAGATGAGTCATGCTTGTGCTTTTGTCTTCTTTAATAAATTGATTTGTGCTTAAGAAATGGCATGTTCTCTTTTGTGTCTGGGTCTCTTTGCTCACCATTATTTTGCCGAGAATCATCCAGATGGTTGCACGAGGCTGCAATCAATACACTGATCTCATTCACACTCGCTGTTACTGAGCAGGGGTGGAGACAGTTTTCTTCTGTGAAGGGCTGGACAGTAAACGTGTTCTCGGCTTGCAGGCCATCCGGTCTCTGTCACACCTTCTCAACGGTGCCACTGCCAAGTGAAAGCAGCTGCCACAGAGGATATATTAAACAGTGGGCATGGCTGAGTGCCAAGAAAACCATTTACGGGCACTGGGATTTGAATTTCATACAGTTTTCATTTGTCACTAAATAATACGTTATTCTTCAATGGTTTAAAAATGTAAAAACTGTTTGGCGGTTCATCAGGAAGTTAAATATAGAATGACCTTATGATCAGCATTTCCAGTCCTGGGTCTATATCCAGGAGAATGGAAAGCAGGAACTCAAAAGAGATACGCACAGCCATGTCCATGGCAACACTATGCACAATAGTTAAAAGGGGGGAACAACCCAACTGTCCATCCACAGATTAATAGATAAACGCAACGTGGTCCGCCCACACAATGGAATATCAGCCTTAAAAAGGAAGGACATCCTGACACCTGCTGCACTGTGGACGAACCTTGAGGACACCGTGCTCAGTGAATAAGCCAGACGTGCTAGGACAGATCCCGTCTGATCCCCCTCGGAGGACTCCTAGACGACTCACAACCACAGAGACAGAAAGTACAGGGTGGGGGTCGGGCTGGGGGAGGAGAGGGGGAGTGAGTGTTTCCCGCTCCTGCATGCAAACATCTGTCTCTCTACCTGTCCTTTGGACTATGCGTTCTGGAATCATCCCAAAGTCACCACCCCCTGGACCAGTTCCAGCCCAGATGTGGGGAGAGCTGTTGAAGGGGGGAAGCTTTGATGGGGGGTGGTGGCAGAACTTCCCACTCCTGGGCCCCAGAGTCTGTCCCAGAGGCTTCCTTTTAGCCCAGGATGTGGGAAGGAAGTGCCAGAGGGCCAAGGAACTTAAGCCAAGACAGGAAGCCCCACACCCAGAGGCCTTAAGAGGGCCAAGGAAGTTGTATCCTAGATTGGGCCTTCTGAGAGCATCTAGAGGGTAAGTGTCAGCTGCTCCCGCCTCTACCCAGAGCCCTAGCCAGAGGGCCCAGGACAAGGCTGGGCTTCCAGCTCTGTCGCCCACAGGGACCCAGGGTTCCAGCTCCCACAGCCTCTGCGGGCCTGACTCTCCTGAGGAGAAGGGGCTGACCTGGCTGGGCGCCTCTTGCTTCCATCCTGCAGCACCTGCAGGATGAAGGCTGCCTGCCTCCTCCTCCTCCCCGCCCTGTGGCTGCTGGTGTGCGGCAAGTCGCTCTGCTCCGTGGACGAAGCCATCAGTGAGAAGGTCCTGGACGGCGCCAGATCCCTCAGTGAGGACCCTCACATCTAACTTCCGGGGGCCCCAGGGACCCCCCCGATTCCTGCCACGGAGCCAACCCCAAGCCGGCCCGGCCCCAACCACAATCCCATCCAGCTGCACCCTTCGCCGCAGCTCCAAACCCTCCTTCCTCCCAGAAGCCTGCCTCACGACAGAATCCTGGGAGGCGGTGAGCTGCCCACCTCCCGGGCTCTGCACCTGGGCCTAAACCACCTCTGCCCAGGCTCCCAGTTTTGTTCCCAGCACCCCGTAGTCCCGATCCCCCACGCCCAGCCTCTGTTTCTCGAGGATCCATGGAGCCCCAGCCTCAGCTTCCCCAGAGTCCCGGGGACCCAATTTCCTTAGGGCGGTGTTCTTGACCCCCTGCCTACATCTCCAAGCCTCCAGGGCCTGGGCTGCATGAGAATGCGGGGAGGGGCAGCTTGGTCTCACAGCGCAACCCCCCTCTCAACCCCCCCCCCACCCGCAGTACTTGGGGCAATAAGGAACACTGGCCTGGACTGCCTGACTGTCACCTCCAGGGGGGCCCTGGCCACCTGCCCGGAAGGTGAGTACAGAATCCTCTGTCCAGGCTCCCAGTTCTGTTCCCAGCACCCCGTAGTCCCGACCCCCCACGCCCAGCCTCTATTTCTCGAGGATCCATGGAGTCCCAGCCTCTGCTTCCCTAGAGTACCGGGGACCCAATTCCCTTAGGACACTTGCTGCCCTGGCCCCCAGCCAAGCACGCATCCGGCTCCCATCCTCGGGTGCCTGGCTTCCAGCCCCCCTCGATCCCTCCGGCTCGGCTCCAAGTCCCCTCCGCTCCCGCCCGCAGGCTTCGCCGTCACCAGCTGCTCTTGCGGCTCCGCCTGTGGTTCGTGGGACGTGCGCGTCGGGACCACCTGCCACTGTCAGTGCGCGGGCATGGACTGGACGGGAGCGCGTTGCTGCCGCCCGCACGCCGTCGCCTGAGGCCTCGGGGGCGGAGCCAGGGGCGGAGGGGCGGGTCCTGGAATAAACCCAAAGAACATGATGCCGAGGGTCCGGGTGCTTCGCCCTCTTTTGTCGGGTGCAGGGGATTGAGTTGGCGTCTCCAAGTTGTGTTGAGCGCAGAGACGCTCAAGGGAGGCATTGGGGGCGGCGATCGCGACATTCTTCTGTCCACGCCCCCTCCTCCCATGTTGTCCCCCACCTCGACCTCGGTGAATGAGGGCTCAGCTTCCTGTAATTATGCCCACGCCCAAGCCTCGCGGCCTCCTTCAAGAAGGGAAGGGTTACCTTGAGGCCACCCTGATGGTCACGCTCGGCTCTCGGACCTCCCAGTAAGTTGCTGGGTCCTTCTTTCCGTCCCCGCATAGTGAGGCCTCCTCTGGGGTTCTGGACAGGACGGGCATCCCCGCCCCCACTTCACATACACTCCAGGACACCAAGCGCCCAGGAGTCCCGGGGCCAGAGTGGACCCCTGAGTCATCTCTCAGCCCAGAGCTCTGAGCCCCTATCCCTTACTCTCCACGGGTATGGAGGGATCCCCCCGACACACACGAGGTGCAGGCATGGAGGGGACAGAAAGGACTCTTCACAGGTGCCCGCTGAGAACTACTTGAGGCCCCACACCACAAATTCACATTTCCACACGTTCAGGCGCAGGTGTGAGGGGTTAGTTACAACCCACTGCACACCGGGGCTCCTACACCCTCCTGAACACCAGACGCTGAAATTAGGGGAAAAGACGTGGTTGCACTTTGCTGTATCCCTGGCCCTTAGAAAAGAGCACAGAAGGCACCCAGGAAATGTCTGTCCTAGAATAACCACATACACACGTGGATAGGCACACACCACAGGTACACACAGTTACACGGCCACGGGCACACAGGGTACACATCCCAGTTACCATGATCACACAGAGACAGCACGCCCATGGACATGGGAGGGCTCCCTTGAAGAGCACAAACATGCCCATGGGGTGGGGGCACATAGGGACACACGGATACATACATACATACTCTAAACAGACTCCCGTGCCTCCCACATCAAGGCCCCATTCCAGCATGGATGGCTCTGGTCCCAGGCTGGACTCTGCCCTAGAAGGTGACCCACCAGCATCCTCTGATCCAGCTTCCTGGGGTGCACAAACTCAGATGATTCAGGGGTCAGTTTCCTTGGAATCCTAACCCCGGGGTTGTAAAATCCAGCTCCTGAGACACACAAACCCAAACTTCAGAACACCTGGAGCCCAGTCTCCAAAGCGAGCCCAGATTCAATGTCACAGCCCCCAGCAAGGTGCTCCGGGGACTGGAGAAGGGGTGATGGGGTGGGTGCTGGCTTTCAGGAACACCCCCCCCTATGATGACACAGCCCTCTGTCTGACCCTGGTGGCCGTGGGCTAAGATCACAAACAACTCCTGGTGCCTTTGGAGCCCACCCAGACCCCAATCCAGGGATTCCCCTCCCAGATTCTCTGTCCTCACCCCCTGGGGCCATGGGGTTGGGAGGGACCACTGAGTCAGAAGTGTGCTGAGGACCGGAGAGTGTAAGTTTAGTACCTTGCCCACCATACCCCCTCCCTTATGTGAAGGGGGGAGCACTCCCTTGGCCCCAGACCCTGAGCTGAATGCCTCTTTGCCTCCAAGTCCCACCCAATCATGTCCCTGTCTCTGGACCCCGTGAAGGGCCTCTTCAGAGCCGTCAGTTTCAAAATAGTCCTAGAGTGCAGACTTGGAGAGCAAGCCCCCTTCTCAAGCCCCTGTTTCCTGATTGGCCAACTTCCCGGCCCCCTGTGGTAGCCACAGTTCTTCTAGCTGCAAGTGCCACAGACCCCATTCCAAGCTAGCTTGAGCAAAATTCAAAGGAGGTTTCTGGATTGTGTAACTGAGAGGCCCACAGTTAGAACAACAGATTCAGGTATGGCTGTATCCAGGGTCTCAAATGACATCTCTAGGACAAGACGTCCTATTGGGTCACTTTTCTCAGTGCTGGCTTCACTCTCAGGCAGGTGCTCCCCTGTCACTGCTCCAGGCTTACATTCTCCCAGTCTGACTGCCCCAGTGGAGTGGGAAAAAAAGGCAAATGCTTTTTCCCCCCCGGGATAACCCAACCAAACATCCAAGCTAGAGTTTCATTGGCTGAGTCTGGCTAATTTGCCCGCCCCTTATGACAAATCTTAAGTTCTGATTAGCTGGGTCTGGATCATGTGCCCACTCTGAACCAATCCCTTATTTATGGTTGTCTGGACTTGAGATACATTTTTTTCTCTCTTAAAAGAAAATCAAGACTGTTACCCCATGAAAGGGGCTGCTCAGGAAACCTTATGGGGCCCTCTAGGGCCCCTGCAACATGGTTGCCTGGGGGCCTCCAAGTAAACAGAACATCATCTTCACTAGATCTTGGGGGAAGCATTTCAAAGTTATCTCAAATTTAATCACATATTTAAAGCCAAAACATACTCACTTCCTGCATGTGTAAGTCTTTTAAATTATCTTTTATTTTATTTTTTGCAAAGGGAGAAAATTGTGATAGTCTAACCAGCACTGTCCAATACGGGAGCCATCGAGTGTTGCAATGTGGCCAGTCTGAATTGAAATATGCCTTCGGTGAGAATACACGTGTGATCTCAAAGACTTGGTACCAAAAACATATAAAATACCTCAATAATTTTTAAGTATCATTTACGTGGTGAAGTGTTGATATCTTGGGTATGTTATGTTAAAAATATTACTAAAATTAATTTAGCTTGTCTCTTTTTATCTTTTCAGTGTGGCTAGAAAACTTCAAGTTGAACACATGTGGTTTGCAGTATGTTTCTATTGGAAGGCACTGCTTTCAATTTAAAAAGAAAATACTCTATATGCTTTGTCTCATTTTTATCCCCCGTTTTTAAGGTCAGACAGATGCAAAGAGCTTTAAGACCCCTAGACAGAGCGTTCGGGTGTAAATTCATGAATATGCATATTTCTCTGGTAGCGTGCAATGTGTGTGTGTGTGAATCTGGGCAGGTGAGCCTACGGTGTGGATGAGAATGAGGGTTTTTCTTGAGTGCTTCCCCATCTGGGGTTTCCAGGGAGGGAGGCAACCACTTCCAGGTCAAGGTCAAGACGTGGGTCTGGCCTCAGTCCCAGATGTGGGTGGGAACTTACAGTTAGCCTCGTTGCCTCACACATCCGTTTCTTTCCTCCATGGGGCCTTAAAGAAATAAAAGTTCTGGGGGTTGGAGCTGAGGGGGTGAGATGGGGGTGGGGGTGAGGAGAGGGGAGTGTGTGTGCCACCTTGGAATCCCACCTCCAAGCCCGGCTGCCCCAACTCTGAAAGATGGGACCCCCAGAAGCTGCCACAGCTTCTTTAGAGGGCGAGAGGAGACGGGAGGATGCAGTTCATGTGGGTAAATACAGACACACACACACAGCTTCCTGTAGAGTTCCTGACCATCCTTTTAAAAAATTATTTATTTTCATTGAATATAATTGACATAATATTGAGCAAGTTGAAGGTGTTCAGCTGTTGATTTAAGGCATTTTACTTACTGCTGAATGACGACTTTTATAGCCTTAGCTCCCTCCTCTATGCCAAGCCCCTGGCCATTCTAGTCTGTCTCCAGGTCTATGGGCTTCCCTGGGCCCTCTGATCTCCTAGGACCCCTTGGTCAAGAGGGGTCGGGGGTGAGGACGCCCCAGGGTGGGACGGTCCTGGATCCCTGAAAAAAAGGAGGCTGACCTATCCTTCCCCCCACCACCCCAACTCAGAGATTTCTTCATCTGCCGAGACACCTTCCGGTGGGTGGAGATATGTGCGGACAAACTCGCAGACTGAGAACCCTTGGAGGCTGAGGGGATTTGCACGAACCAGGTCAAGATGGAGGCAGCGACCTTCAAAGACAAGAAACAGGGGATCCCGGCCGAGAACGAAGGTCAGGCGCTTTGGGTGGGGAGGGGAGAGGTCTAGAGAGAGGAGTCAGGGGCTGAAAGTGGGGACCAGAGGGCTCCTTCCCCTACCCAAAATGTGTGTGTACCTGTGTATACCCACTAAAGTCAGCCACACCCTCTCCACTTAACCAAGAAGCAGATCTTAGCTCCTACACCTGACCTTTTACCCCCAGAAATTTGTTGTGAGCAGGGGTTCAGTGAACCAAGAGCTCCTCTGGGACCCCTCCCACCCTACCTGGCCCCCAAGCTCAGAACAGGTTTCGGCAACCCTCCCACTGACCACACACAGATGACCCAGACTATGTGAATATCAACTTGACCTGCAGAAACTGGGGCCAGTCAAAGGGCAGCCGTTCACCACCCAAGAACCAGGGTAAGCAGCCACCCGCCCCACCTGCCACCACAGGCCTGGGAGGGAACCGTGGGAAGGCAGCACAGGGACGCGGGACACCATGCGGAGGTCCAGGCTGGTGGCGCAAGGTTTGTGTGTGATGGTGGTGGAGGTCTGGGTGGTGGAGGTGGTGAGTGGGTGGAAGCAGTGGACACCGATGTGGATGCCGGCCACAGCTATGGCATCTTGGCAAGTCTTGGTGACGGACGGAGGTGGTGACAGCGTTAGGGACAGTCGCTGGTGGTGGCGGTCAGAGTGCACGTGGCAGGCAGGGTGGCGATGGTCATGGCTGCTGATGGTATTAGGAGCAGCAGGCGTAGACGACAGAGCTCTTTATGGCGTCAGGGTACCGATGGCTGAGTGGCAGCGGCAGGCCCTGGACCTCACCTGTCCTTCCGCTGGCCCAGCCCCAGCCCGGTGCAGGCCGCCTGCGGACGCTGCCCAGGCGCCCCGCTGGTCGCACGGGGCCACCCTGAGCCTGTGCCTCCTCGTCGCTCTGTGCTGCATCACTGTCTCGGCCTTGGTCCTGGCGAAGCGTGAGTAGGGAACTTTCTGGGTTCGGGTTTTGGTGGTGAGGGCAGGGGCTGGGGCAGTGGGAGGCGTCTCACCCGGGAGGGGTCCCACCCGGTCCTCTTCCGCCCCACCCCCGCCCCCAGGACCGCACACGCAGAGTTTCCTTCCCACCCCCCACCCCCATCTCCTGAACAGATCCGGCGCTGTCCCAGGAGCTGCTGGACTTGAAAAGGGAGCTCGGGAACAGTAAGGGGAGGACCTGGGGGCGGGGGCCCGATGGGTCGGGATGGGGGTGCGGGAGCAGACGTGCCCCTGATGTGCCCGCCCCCTGCCCTAGTCTCCGCCTCCGTGGGGCAGTGCCAGGAGGAGCAGCAGCAGAGCAGGATCGCCATCCGGCTGAGCTCCCAAGAGGCCAAGAAGCTCATGGACATGGTCAAGAACAATATCCAGAACTGCATTGCGACACTGAAGACACTGTCATCAGGTCCCCTTGCAGACCTTCACTGGGGGGAATTGATCTCCATGCCCGGGATCGGCCTGGGTGCTGGGAAATCGGGAGAGGGGGCAGCAGGGTTTGAAGGGGTGATGAATGTCACCATCCCGGTCACTCAGAGGGTATTTATAAGCTGCAGGGAACCCCAGGGACCTAGGTTCTGCAGCACCCCAGCCAGGGGGTCAGGCAGGGGAGTTTGCAACAAAGGTGGAAAAAACCCAGTTTTCTCCTGTCTCCCCACAGATATCAAACAAATCAAGGCTAAATTACAGGACATCTCCAAGAAGCAGGGGGGGAAGCCAGAGCCAGGTGAGCTGGGGCGGGGGGTGCAGATGAGGAGGGAGCCCTTGGTTGGGCCCCTGCTTCTCTCAGCGAGTGTATCTGCCTGACCTCAGGTGTCCACCCCACCCAGAGCCCAAAGCTGAATAAATGAGAAGACGTGGAGACCTTGCCTGCAGCTCATTTGACAGGCTTGCACCTCCCAGTGAAGATAGAAAACAGCAGACCCAGCCTGGACATTCATCCCCACTTAGAGAAAAATCACGTCATGGAGACTTGAGGGTCGTGGAGTCGCATGCGTATGCGTGTGTGTGTGTGTGTGTGTGTGTGTGTGTGTGTGTGTGTGTGTGTGGTGTACACAGGGTAAGCATTTCATGGAGCATGGGTGTTTCATGGAGCGTATGTCCCCCTAATGCTGCTCTGTAGCTCCTTGCAGGCACCAGTAACAAGATAAGGTTCACTGAGCAGATGTACCAACATTCCTTGGGGAGGCCTGTTTCGATATCTGGAATTTAAAGAGAGACATAGTTCAACACTCCCGTTTGGATTCACATGGATCACTGCACCTGGTGATTGCAAAGCAATGGAGGAATGTGCACCAGCCCTTGGGCTGCAAAAATTAATAACTGGGCGGATGCCATCAAATCTGCAAGCTATGTGACAGCTGAGAAAATATCCCTTCCCCTCTTATCTTATATAAACTGTCCACTGTAGCAGGCTAACAAGATGGGTCTCTGGGACAATAGCCCTCCCATCTTCCAACCTGCCAGCTTGTTGAATAAAGCTCTTTCTCTCCGGACACTCTGTTTCTCCATTTCGTGGCTGAATCAGGTGGCAGTGGAACCAAACCTTTGTGGTTACACCACCAGGATGTGCTGTGGGTTTATGTTGACTAGGACTCATAGCAGGAGTGGTGTGCACGCTTGTGTCACTGCATGTGCCATGTGTGCATTGTGGCATGTTGCAAGTGTAATGAATGTCACAGTGGGTTGCTGCGTCAGCAGGGACCACAAAGATGTATCTCTGTAAGGGTGGGCATTGGTGACATGTATTGCAGGTGTCTGTTCCACTGTCAGTATAAACACATGTGAGTGTCCTGTCATGTGTTGTGTGTATAGACACGTCGCGATGGAGTGTGTGTGGAGCGCACCATGGGAACGTATCACTGCTGCAGGTGTTGAGCAGATGTGCATAGTGAAGAGGTGTGTGTTGATGTAAGTGTGCCTGGTGATGTCACTGAGTGTGTTTGGAATATTCGGATCTGTTACTGGGGCTTTGAGAGTAGGTGGCAGAAGGTCTGCATGTGTTCAGACTTGGGAAATGGACAAAAATCACACAGTGAACATGTGGATGTCATGCCAGGATCCCTGGAGACACGAGGGTGTGTGAGAACAAATGCTGTTAGTGGGTCCTTGTGTGTCCACAAACGTGTATGCAGGGGGTAAGAGTCCCTGTGCCAAGTGCATGCCCATGAGGATTCTTGGCCTGAGATGCGTAATGTCTCCCCAGGTGCGCACGGGGGGCGGATCTGTATGAGCTCCTAAGCATGGACCCATAGGTGTAACTGCTGGTGGATGTGTCTGTCCACTGCGCACATACTCCTGAGAGCACAAGCCCCTAAATGTGCTATTCCCACAGCTCACGGATGTATGTCTCCTAAGCGAATGTGTGCCCACGGGCATACGTTTGTCTCTAAGACAAGTGAACATGCGCGCGTGGACACACACTTGCCCCTAAGCCAAGAAAACGTGCCCAAGGACATAGATGTGGCCCTAAAACAAGAGAATGTGTGACCAAGGACAAAGGTGTGCCGCTGGGACAAGCAGATGCCCAAGTGCACACGTATGTGCCTGAGAGAGACCTGTGCCCGTCATCAAACGTGAGCCCCTAAGCAGCTGTCCCGGGGCACTGTCATCCTCCGGCGCTCGGACACGCGCACCCCCGTGCAGCCGCTCTCGTGAGTCACCGCGCGCACTCGCCCCGTCCACACCTCGGTTCGCGCCAGCGCCTGCGCACGCAGGGCCTCTTACGGCGCCGTAAAGCAGCGCGGCCGAGGCAACGGCTTCAGTTCCCGGTGAGACCCGCCGGCTCGCGACCCCTGCCGGAGCTCGTTCGCTCCCCGACCCCCCCACTCAAGCCCCACTGCACGATCCCGATGCCCGGTCCGCCCGCTTCGGCCCTCCCAGGGGGCCGCGAAGAGGGTGGGCTCCGCCCGGGCTCGGGGCTCGGGTTTGCGGCCTTCCCGATCGCTGCCCGGTGGAGGGTCTCAGCGCTCCACTCACGTCTCGCGGCTCGGCCCCTTCGGTCGGCGGCTGCGCAGTGGGGCGGGGGCGCCCTGGAGCCCCCGGAATTCCTTCCCCAGCTGCTCCGCTGGGCTTCTCATTCCCCCCGCGGGCCTCTTGGGGGGCGTCCCCAGGTCTCTCCGGCGCTGACCCCGTCCCTGCATGATGGGCACGGGGTTCTCAGCTCCCCCACCGACCGCACCTCCGCGGCGGCTTCACACCTGAGTGGCCAAGGGCAGGGGGAAGGGAGGGGGTCTCGGCGTCCTCGGGAACCCCCCCCCGATCTGCCGCAAGCCCCACGCAGAGCCACAGTGTGGATGCATCAGCACCCCCTCCGGGGTTTTCCCCAGCAGCGTCCTTCCGGGTCTCGTCCTCCGCCGACTGCCGGGACTTCGGGCCCTGGGGTGGGAGGATCACTGCGCCCCTCCTGCCCTCCTGGCTTCCCCAAACCCTGGCTCTGACAGCCCGCCTCCCCCCTCTTGTTTACCCCTGCCCGGCTACCTTTCTGGAGAGTACGGGGTGGGGGCTCCCAACACCTTCTCTGCTCCCCCCGCACCTTTCTTACAAACGCAGGCCCATCCGCGTCTCGGAGGCGTGACATCGGCGCTCCCCGAGGGCGTGGGGCTCCAAGGGTTTCCAGTGGCCCCTCCTGGTTTGCCCCATGTTGTCGGTCTGTTGCCCCCAAGCCCCCAGCCCTCCTGGCCATTGGCCTTGACACACCCCTACTCCCCCAAACTCCCATTCCTCTGGCTTTCCTTAGGGGAGAGGCAGGGAGGTCGTTTTTACCCGCTGTCGCTGCTGGGTCGCTTCGCTAGACAGCCGTGTCCTCTCACGGCCCCCCATCCTTGTCCCCTCCCAGCCTTAGGTGTGATGTCCTCCTCCCCTAGCGCCAGTTTTCTAGGTACTCCCACGGGTGGCAGAGCGGGTACCGAGGTGCTTCTCACCTACGAGGAGAGGAAGCAGCTGGAACTCAGGGTCGAGATGGCTTCCCGCGCCCCCTTCTGGTTCCCCTTTGCCCTTCCCCCACTTTACCCCCCTTAAACCCTCTCTCCGACGACGGTGTAAACCTTCCCTGTCTCCCGTTTGCCTTGCGCTTGCTAAGCGTGATGGAGGCGTGCTTTATGCACACGTGGGTGCCCCCTTTCCATTCCCTCCTGCCTTCCCACGTGGGAGGTCAGCGATGGAGCAGCACAGAGGGGGGCGGGCAGTGGCCCTCGGGGTTCTGCCTCCCGCCCCTGACTGACACCCGCGTCTCTTTGTCGCTCCCCAAGGCAGCGGCATGGAGGCGCGCTTCACGCGCGGGAAGTCGGCGCTGCTGGAGCGCGCGCTGGCACGGCCGCGCACGGAGGTGAACCTGAGCGCTTTTGCGTTGCTCTTCTCCGAGCTGGTGCAGCACTGCCAGAGCCGCGTCTTCTCCGTGGCCGAGCTGCAGGCGCGCCTGGCCGCGCTGGGCCGCCAGGTGGGCGCACGGGTGTTGGATGCGCTGGTGGCTCGCGAAAAGGGTGCCCGGCGGGAAACCAAGGTGCTGGGCGCACTGCTCTTTGTCAAGGGCGCCGTGTGGAAGGCGCTCTTCGGCAAGGAGGCCGACAAGCTGGAGCAGGCCAACGACGACGCGCGCACCTTCTACATCATCGAGCGCGAGCCGCTCATCAACACCTACATCTCGGTGCCCAAGGAGAACAGCACGCTCAACTGCGCCAGCTTCACGGCGGGCATCGTGGAGGCAGTGCTCACGCACAGCGGCTTTCCCGCCAAGGTCACGGCACACTGGCACAAGGGCACCACGCTCATGATCAAGTTTGAGGAGGCGGTTATCGCCCGAGACCGCGCCCTGGAGGGCCGCTGACCCCGCGGCAGATAAAGGATGCGGAGAATACCTGTCCCAAAGTGTCTTGTGTCTTGTGTGGGGGGCCTCAGAGATGTACCATGACCCAGGTCCCTGCCTCAGCTGGTGAGGAAGGCGGAGCTTGTTTATAATGCGCTGGGGGGTGGGGTGGGGAAAAGGGCAGGTCTGACCGAGTTTGAGCTTTCGGATAGTGTTGGGGTTCAAGAGGCCAGGGGCAGCCCTGAAATAAACCTAGCAGTGGGAGATGCTGGTGTGGCTGGGAGGTGGAAAATGCTGGCACTTTCTGGAATCAGGCTGAAAGAGACAACTTCAGACCAGGGGCTGGCACACTTTTTCTGTGAAGGACCCGATAGTGAATAGTTCATGTCCAGCTGTATGTCCGATTACAGCTCTTTGGGGTGTGGACAGCAGTTAGGTACACAAGGGTGGATGTGGCTGTGTGCCCAGAAGTAGGCAGTGGATGGAGGTTTGCGGAGCCCAGCTTTAGACCCTTGCTATTCAAGGTGTGGTCCAGAGCAGCACGCCAGTGTCTCCTGGACCTTGTGGGAAATGCAGGCCCTCGGCCCACCCCAGATGCACCCACTTGGAGTCTGAGCTGTAGCAAGATCCCCTGGGGGTTCCTGTGTACTTTTTTTTTTTTTTTGAGAGGGCATCTCTCATATTTATTGATCATATGGTTGTTAACAACAATAAAATTCTGTATAGGGGACTCAATGCACAATCATTAATCCACCCCAAGCCTAATTCTCAACAGTCTCCAATCTTCTGAAGCATAACGAACAAGTTCTTACATGGTGAACAGGGAAAGGGCAGGCATCCTGTGTACTTTCTTTTGAGGAACGTGGCTGTAGGGCACAGAACGTTCCCAGACGGGCCGGCAGGGCCCCAACCCCAGAGTTTCAGACTGTGCAGCTCCAGGGTGGACCTGAGGATTTGCATTTCTGACAAGTTCCGGGGAACTGCTGGTGCTCAAGGCGGGCTGCACCTGGTTCTCAAGGGGAAACAGGTGGGTTCCTTTCAGAATTGCCTGGATGCTTTAAATATTTTAAAGTTAATTTCTAAATATACAGTTGCTACACAAATACCTATTCCTCGTTGAAAAAGTAAAATGGGTTACTCCTTTCCTGTGGCTTGGCTAGGGGGCAGTTTCCTCCCGGCCAGAGGTGATGAGCCAGGTGGGCTTCAGCATGTCGCAAAGAAGGTAGTAAGTGTCAACGGCATAAATAGAGCCACGGGGCACCTGGCATGTAGCATAGGGGTGGCCCGGAAATAGCTGTTGGCTGGGGTTGGGGAGGGCACCAAGGGTACAGCTCGATCGCAGGTGAGGGGGCAGTGTCAGGAGGCCAGCGGGGGACAGCTGGGGGCATTTGGGGATCTAGAGTCCAGAAGGGAGGTCTGGGGAAGCCAGGACCCTGGTGATGGCGTCTCAGAGCCCGCTGCATCCCCATCTGGAGGCTCAGCAGTGGAGGATGCCTGGAGAAATGGGGAGAAAGAACACAGCTGTGGGGTACAGGCTCCCGTCACCTCCGCTCTAACTTGGATGCCTTGGGCTGCAAGTAAGTCTCCTCTGAACCTCTCCCCACTCCACAGGTGGGGGGTACGGAGGAAGCCAGCCCCTGCCCTCGGTGAGCCAGGCAGCCAGCATCCCATTTCACAGGTTCCAAGAGAAAAGGTCGTTTGCCCATGGCCACGTAGTTCTGTCAGCAGGCCGGAGCCCGATTCCAGAGTCAAGTTCAGCTGCTCACGGCCCAAAAGACCAAGCCCCAAAGGACAAGCATGGGTGGAAAATCCTGAGGATGGTGGACCAAGACCATCTGAGTGCTCGGAGTGAGGGACTCTTAAGGGGGAAATTTAAACAGGACGAGGCTGTGTGCAGAGCCAGCAGTCAGTCATTGTCTCATCTCTGGTTTCAAGGAGCGATGGCCTGTTGTCACTCTGAATGGAGCTCTGCCATCCAAACCTGGGTTTGAGGAGTGCAGAAAGCCCTAAAACAGTGTCCGAAGGGCTCTGCAGAGGTCTGCGCATAGTTCTACCCGGTGGTTCCTCACACGGGTCTGCTTAGTCTTAAGGAGTCGGGCAGCAGCATTACTCCATGGTCATTTAATTTCCATTTAGAAATGGGATCGGTGTTAGTAAATCCTCATTCTTTGACTCTCGCCTCATCTCATCCCCTAAAGTCAGACAGGTCCAGATGAAGAATTAGGGCTGCTAGAGACCAAAAACCCTTGGCTCCGTGTGGCTGCCACCTCTGCCAGTCTATCTTTCACTAATTGAGAGTCTGCCCTTCCCATGTCCTGGGTGGTGTGTAATCGCCACTTCCATAGGCAAGAAAATGGTGCCAACGAACAAGATATCTCGGCTGGGTATTTAACGTCCTTGTTACCAGAGGTCAGAAACCCTCTCCTACTCATCAGCATGAACCACGAGGAAAGCATCTCTGGCCCCTTGTGCATTTGATGATCCCAGGCCTCTAGTGAGGGCTAACAATTCTGCTTCCTGGGCAGATGTACATGCTGGCAGAACACTGATCTCAATACCCTCTTGTCAAGTTACCACTGTATATCCTTCCCGTTGTGCCTGTGGTCTCTGTAGCTGCTTCCAGCAGTGTAGACATCCCAATCACAATTCTGCAGGGTTGATCTGTCAGGTCTGGACCGCTAGAATAAACATCATCTCCTCCAAACTGGTTGGAAGCAGGGTTGCAGGATTTAAGGCTGTGGATGTATGTAAGCTGACATTAGGGTTGTCCAGCAGGATGGCCTGGAATTTGCCCAATCTCCCAGCCATCACCCAAGAGCCCTATTTTTGTTACAATAGTCAACACCTGGTGGGGGCTTTAAGGCTCTCAAAGATCCACTGACATTCTTTAGTCCAAACAAGGGACTCAAGAATCCAACCCATATAAAGTCTCGTATAAGCAGTGCAAAACTGGGAATCCAAATTCTACAGTAGCCAGCGATTCCCAGGAGCCCCAGGAGCTGTCTGCTTTCAGGGACTATGGGGGACCGCAAGGTTTGCCATCAGCCGTCAGGATCCATTGGCCTTGCTGGAGTTGAAACCCCAAGTATGCAACTCTTGTCTTTGTAAATTGGGGCTTTTTGTGGGGACACGTTGTAGCCACAATCAGCTCAATGAATC